TGACCGAGATGGCCGTCTTCAAGGTCAACGGGGATCTGGTCTGGGAGTGGAAGAAGAAGAAGTAGAGAAAAAAAACTAGAGGAATACGTGTATCTGCAAATATACAATCCATCGCAGGAGAGACTACTAATGATGACTGGTGTGGAAAGAGATGTTTGGAAAGCAGCAGTAAAAGAAGAAAAGGAAATTCGGGATGACGGAGGAACGTGTAGACACCCTTCGCTAGTGTTGCGCCCACTGAATGCTCTTCAGGTCGATTCCTTCCTGGACCTGCAATAACAGATAAGAAGATGTCGCATATCAGTTCCCGCATCCCAAACCGGTTGGATCGATCCATGAGCCCTTACCATCTCCCAGAGCGGACTCATCTCCCTGAGTCGATCGACGTGAGCCGTAACCCTGCTGACAGCATAGTCGATCTCGCTCTCGGTCGTGAACCTTCCGATGCCGAATCGGATGGACGAATGCGCCATGTCATCGTCGGCACCTAGTGCCCTCAGGACGTAGCTCGGTTCCAAACTCGCAGACGTGCACGCGCTTCCCGAACTCAGTGCGATCTCTTTGAGGGCCATCAGGAGCGACTCTCCCTCGACGTAAGCGAAGCTGAGGTTGACGCAACCCGGGTAAGTCCTCTCCAGGTCTCCGTTCCTGACCACGTGGTCCACCTTGGCCGTGATGCCCTTCACGAGCCGTTCGCTGAGGCTCTTGACGCGGACGGCGTCGTATCCCATCTCCTTCTGAGCGATGGAGCAGGCGGCCCCCAGTCCGACGACCAGAGGGGTCGGGACCGTTCCCGATCGCAGTCCTCGTTCCTGTCCTCCTCCCGACATGATGGGCTCGAGACGCACGCGGGGTCGACGACGTACGTACAGGGCCCCGATGCCCTTCGGTCCGTAGACTTTGTGACCGGATATGGACATGAGATCGATGTTCATCTTGTTGACGTCCATTGGAATCTTTCCGGTAGCTTGTGCGCCGTCCGTCTATGAAGGATCTATCAGCTTTCGAGCTTGAAAACACGAGACTGTTCAATCACTCACGTGGAAGAAGACCTTCTTTGACCGGCAGAGTTTGCCGATCTCGGCCACGGGCTGGATCACACCGATCTCGTTGTTGACCGTCATGATGGAGACCAGAGCGGTGTCGGGTCGGATGGACGCCTCCAAGAGCTGCAAAAGATCATGAGAGGAACAGCGTCAGCCGCCATGAACCACCGAAACGGATCTTCCGCATCATTCCCGTTCCCATACCTCAAGGTCCACCAACCCATTCTGTCCCACGGGCAAGTAGGTCACCTCGAACCCCTCGTCCTGCAACACGCGACACGAATCCAACACGCACTTGTGTTCCGTCTGTGTGGTGATGATGTGGTTCTTCTTTCCCTTGTAGAATCTCGCTACTCCCTTGACGCTCATGTTGTTGCTCTCTGTGGCTCCGCTGGTGAAGATGATCTCCTTCGGGTCGGCACCGATGAGGTCGGCGACCTGCTTGCGGGCCACCTCAACGGCCGACTCGGACTCCCAACCGTACTGGTGGGTCCGCGAGTGGGGGTTACCATACAGTTGGGTCATGTATGGGAGCATGGCGTCGATGACGCGGGGATCCATGGGTGCTGTAGCCTGGACGTCCAGGTAGATGGGTCGAACCCCCATCTTGCGTACCTCTGCCACCTCAAATCCGGCGTCTGTGCAAGGAAACGAAGAGTCTGAGGGGAAAGATTCCCACAGGGGTCTAGAGTGGGAAGATCGGAATGCCCGTCGTACCTTCAAGCGACTTTAGTTCCAGTGGTTGCTCCGCTATCGCAGCACATGGGGATGGCGTCGTGGATACACATCTAAGTTGGGAGGATGGTCGGAGGAAGGTAGGTGTGACGGCGTTGCTGGCCGAGGGGGCCAGGCGTGTGCTGCGAGCCGAGGAGGTCCTGCACAGAGCGCGGAACGCCGAAGACATGGCGCGACAAGGGAAGGAAGGGATAGGCTCAGTAGTAAGCAACGCAGCTGACTGTGGCTGTAGGTGAGTGAGGTGGTAGTGTTGCTTGCTGCTGGTCCGGTCTGGTCCCTGGGTGGTATCGAGTGCCCTTCGTAACGGTGGACTCTGCTGTTGTTGTTTGTTGTTCGTAACGAAGAAGCAGGGTGCAAGAGATGATGGTTTATGCGCATGGGTTTGGTATTGCGCTTCGCCTCCTTCCCACCATTTCCGCATTCTCCCCACCCATCCCTCGGCCGTACAGATCAGCCAGTCCTGACAACGAAGGCATAATAGGGACCTAGAGGCACTCCTGGTCTTCCGCAACCTCGTAAACTCTGTCTCTCGTTCATGCGCAAGGGCAAAAAGGACAAGGCTCACAAGTGGGAGTCCAGGAACTCTCCAGCACCGCTCCCTTCAACCTCGTTCCGACCATTCTCCTCCTCCTCCTTCTTTGCCACGCCATCGTCAGCTGAAGCGTCATCATCTTCGCACCGCTCTGTCATCGACCTTCTATCTCGGACCGCCCCACGCTCCACTTCCCGTCGCGACCCCCTCTCCACCGCCGACTCGCAGGTCGCGAACGTCTACGCACACTTCCAGGACCATGTCACCCGGAACCAGCTTCGGGAGAGCAGGGCCTCCATGCTCAGAGGGATGGCCGGGCCACCTCCACCCGAGCAATGGCAGGCCACGCTGGCGAGATCCGTGGCCGCGAGGGATGGTCTAGCCCGACAACTGAAGGATCGTGACGGTCGTCGTCGACCGCAGGATCGACAGTACGAAGGATATGGGCGCGAACCTGTGGTGGAATGTCGCGTGAAATCTTTGCAGGTCTTATGTGCCACGACCGTAGCTGGTCGGTTGAAGATGTACAAGAGCCGTGCGGACGAGTTCCGACGGATGCCATTCCATCTCAAGGAGACCATCCTGGAGTGCCTGTCAACGGGTGCCGGTGGCACGGGTGGGAGGCTGGCAGACGACACGTTGCGGCTCTTTCGTGACAGCGAACTGAGGACCCTCGATCTGGGTCACTCGGCCGTCACGATGGAAGGGTTCGCCAGGTTCCTCGGCGTACCGCTTCGGAAAGGCGATACCCACGGTGAGTCCTTCGACTACCTGATCCCAACTTCAACACCCTCAGAAGCATCTGTCGCATCACCCATCTCCGAAGTTGAATCCGACGTGCCGGATTCGTGGGAAGTTCTCGATACACCGATCATCAAGCATCCCATCACCACCGTCCCTTCCCACCGCTCCACATCCCGTCCCCTCACTACCACGCACATCCACACCCTCTCGCTAGCCCACACCTCCCGGATCCGGTCCACGGTCCCGCTCGCCTACCTGATCTCCTTCACCCTCCCGACCCTCGTGCGTCTCGACCTCTCGGGGTGCTTCGACGCGTCGTCCGGACCCAGCGCGCTCGGGGTCCTGGCGCGACGGGTCGCGGGGCTGAGGGAGCTGGCATTGAGGGACTGCGGGTGGGTGACGGCCGAGGTGGTGTCGAACGTCGGGTGGAACTGCTTCTGGTTGGAGATGAAGGTTTTGGAGTTGCAGGGGTGTCATCCGGGGGTCAAGGACGTGGAGGTGGGATTGAGGAAGGAGAGATCTGGATTGGATGTCAGGTTTTAGAAATAGCAGAGATCTACATCTGTATATCTTTTTGGAAAGAGAGATGGTGGTCTCGTTAATGAATATACCCTCGAGCATCTCTCGTTCAGCATGAAAGGTTCAAAAAGAAAGGTCCATTCGCGAGAACCAGGATAGAGCACAAACGTCCAAAAAAGAAACAAAGAAGCGAAGATGCAAAAAAGAAAAAGAGCAATGCAAAGGACAGAAACAGGGATGTGATCTTCTCGATCACACATACTCGTCGTCCGTGTCAACCGGAAGGTATACGTTGAACTGACTGTTGCTTTGCTTCAGCTCCTTGTAGAAGAACCACATGGTGTATGCGTAGTAGATCTGAGTGACAGCAAAGAGGAGACAAAAAAAAAGGGAGTCAGGCACAGGTTGCACGTGGGAATGTGGAATCTCCATCATCAGAAAGAACGACGCTCCGCGCGGAGAAGAGATGAAAACATGGGAACATATGGCCCGCAAAGATCGGCATGGTCTTCGCGCGCGGCATACTCTCGAGTGCATCGTTACTCACGTAAAGTGCGTTGTTGAAAAGACCGTTCACGAACATCCACAGGGGCAGAGCGTCGCTGGCGCACTCTCCTCTGGGGAGGTCGCCGCACAGCTTCTCTCGAGGAGTTGAGAGGAACGCGATGATTCCCACGATGCTAAGGGTGGCGATGATGGAGAAGAACGTTGTCCAGACGCGGACCCATCGGATCCACAGGGTCTTGTTCTGGCGAAGATGTGAAGGCAAAGAGAGTGAGCGACAGGAAAGAACAACGAGGGAAGGGAAGGGGAACAATGAGCCTTTTTACCTGAATGACAGCGTACATCTGCGCCGCCATAGGGCCGACAATGGTCAAGACCCAGATAGGGTTCGCCAGCTTCTCTCCGAACAGCATGATGATGTTGGAAATCTGTTGAAGAAAACAGAAAAGGGGTGCACGAGAGTAAAAGTGTAAGACAGAGCGAGAGTGCAAGAGAGGGAGATGTCAGAGACACCACTTACAATGAAGAGAGCCTGGAGGACGATCAGCTGCTTCCGCAGAAGGGAGCCCTTGGAAAAGTCATCTCTGGCGATCGTAACGTAGGACCTGAACGTGTCCATTGTGCTTTGTGCTTGTTGGTTGCTGGTTGATTGAAAAGGACGTGCAGTGTGTGGTGTGTGGTGTGGGAACAACTGATGGGGAGAGGCGAGGGAAGGGAACGGTGCGTGATTTATGAGGGGGAGATGAAGCTGACGGATCCTTCTTCTCTTGCCCTTCTCTCTCCTCGTCAGACTTCCGCCTCACGCACCTTTTTGCTTTTCGCTCCATGTCATTTCAACGCGGGGGTGTCTTTCTTCGTGGAAACGTCCAGCGACTACGATCATGAAGCGTGCGAGGGTCAAGCCACATATCGAGTCTTCGGCCCTGTTAGCTCAGTTGGTTAGAGCGTCCGCCTAGTAAGCGGAAGGTCCCCAGTTCAACTCTGGGTCAGGGCACGTGAACGTGTGGTGAGGTCCCTACACCCAGGGATTAAGCTTCTTTTGTTCCTTTTTGCCATCCCGACGGGGGATGGTCAAAGGGCCTGCGTGTGCAATTCGACCACTTCCCGCCATACTTCGATGAACTCCTCAGCGTCTTCCGGCAAGGCAGTGCGGAATGGCATGCATTTCCAAAGCCCCAGGATTCCCGTTGCGTCTACGTGTTTTGCGGCCTCCCCCCGCGCAGAAGACAGGTTCCGTTCGCTTCCACTGATTCATATGGAAACGAAACGCCTTTCCGATGTTGACACATGCATTTCGCAAAAATGCCATGGCCGGGACACCAGCAGCTAACGGTGGTTTAACGGTCCAGTTCTTCGACAGCCACGCTGCTCCCTTCTCAATCACCCACAGGCCCACAGACCACATATCATCATAAACTTCGAAAAATGTACATGTATCATGTCTTTATATTCGATGCTGTCCCACAAACAAAAGGGGGTTCTACTTTGCTTCCCCAAGACGAGATCAACTCGACACAGGGGGGGGGGGGGGGCGGGGGCGGGCAAACACAAAGGCAACGAATGGGAACACCCGGCCTAATTTCCCCACATATGCCCCGGGAAACAGGAGCAGTTGGGTGCAAATACAAGCGAGGAATACGG